AGAGACCTGCATTCTTATGCCACTGCTGAATTTGGCCATATGGGGAACCTAGATGTATTTGAAGTCATCATATTAACTTGGCATCGTCTTTTGTGGATGTGTTCAGTAGGATGTGCTCTGGCCTGGGGCTAGCTAACAAAAGAGCAAATCTTGGTAAAGACAAAGGTGTTTGTAGCTTTCCCATATATTCAGGGCTGACAAAAGACCTTGTCGGGTCCTGGAGAAGTGGGCTCTGCGCCCTCCAGAAGGGGCGGGGTCTGGAGTGGAATAGGCAGGGCTGGGGGCTAGTCTTCCAGCACTGGCAAGGCTGCAGGGCACACATGGCTGGGGGATCCAGCAGCAATTTAAAAGGTTCGGGGATCTGGCTGCAGATGCTGCTGACGTAGCAGCCAGGAGCTCTGGACTCTTTCCAATCACAAGGTCTTGGGGCAGGTATCCTTTTTGTCCTCTCTCCTTCCCCCATTCGCAGCCCTGCACATATTAGCAGGTTAAGTAAAGACCATGGGAGATATTAAGGTTCACTTAGACTTGCTAATTCACACAGATATTTCAGTTACCTTCTCTTCATTGTGATGTTATCTTGCCTTAGGTTCCACATGTCTGATTACAAAGCACCTGGGGGAGGCCCAGCTAGTGCTGCTGCTGCTGTTCAGAGGTTAGGGCACTGAGTTTTGATACAGGTATGCCAGGTACATCCTCCGCACCCTAGGACAGACCCACCACACTTTTTCACTCCATTAAAAATTCCCAGAAGTTTCAGATTTGGCTTGACCTGAACAATTTTTTTCTAGAATGATCAGCAAAGCAAAACATCCATTATTTACCCAGCTCTAGAAAGAACACAGCTTTTTCCGCTTGGAGGGAAATTGTTGCATTTTTAGGTTTTAACAGATTGCATGCATCACCTTTCTATAAAAGACTGAGAAAACACCCTATTGCATGGGGTTGTTGCGGCGAGGTAGCATGTCCCTTTCTGATATGTCATCTCTTCTGACTATATTACAGATGTAACAATTCCCTGTCCAGTGGCCTGGGAAATACTGAATAGGGAAAACATTCAGGGCCAAGTTTATTGTGTCCTGTACCACTTTTTTCAAGTCTTCTTGAAGAAAAGACGTAGAACCGAAGAATTGCTGATTAAGGAATAGTACTACTGACATATCACGTCCCTGCTCCTTCCCTTGTTGTAGTGGGTCATGCAAACCCAGTAGGTTTGTTTGGCAGTACAAATGCTTGAATTCTTTTTCTCTGGCCTTCTGCAATTGCAGTTTGGTTTCTGTTCTTTAATTATTTTATGTGATGACAGCTTGGGGTTTGGAATAGCAAGCAGAGGTGGTATCTGACAAAGGCATAATCATGGATCATCTCTCTGTTGTCTCCATGGTGCCACCAAACCTTATTTTCGAGATCTCAAACCATCTGCTCATCCCTTTCTCAAACTCAATTCAGATATCTGTCATAGTTCAGTTGGCACAGCACGGTTCCTGCTTAATCACTGGCCTCTTCTTAACTTTTGTTATCTTAAGATTCTTTCTTAAACACAACATTCTCCGTCACTTTTAGTGAACCTTTACAAACAAAAACTAGCAAATCAACAGAAGTCCCTTTTCATTGAATTAGTTATCCCCCCACCCTCTTGTTTAGTTATAAGCAATAGAATTAATGCATGTGGATTTTAGGAATGAAGGAATTGCAATTTCATTGTCATGTCACTTATTATTACTTAGAGCCCATAATTTCTTGTATAATGTCCCTGAAAGCAGCCAGTCCAAGAGGAAGTGTATGGAAAAGGTACAATGGATAACAATGAAGTAATATGTTGGAGGCAAAATTTAACCTCTGTTAGTCAGTGTCTGGCCTATGTTCACTGAAGCAGGGCTTATATCTTGTAGGCATTATTTTTCAATCCTAAAAGGGAGAGGTGCTGGCTGGGAAAGGGGAGCCTGGAAATAGCTAAGGGGGGGGCAACGGGGCTGGCTGGAGGAGATGGGGGGGCCAACAGGAAGCAGGGCTGGTCGTGGGGGGGGGGGTTGGGTGGAACGGGGCTGGCCGCGGGATAGGAAGGGGGAGCGGGAAGCACAGCTGGTGAGGGGGGTGCAGTAGCGCTGGCCGGGAGGAAGGGGGGGGCCAGGAGGAGAGAAGCAAAGCTGGAGGGAGCGGGGAGGGTGCAGTGGCGCTGGCCGGGGAAGATCAGGAAGAGGAACGGGCCAGCAGGAAGCAGAGCTGGGAGGAGGGGCGGGGGCCATGGGGCTGGCCGGGAGCAAGGGGGGGCCGGGAGGAAGGGGGGCGAGAAGCAGAGCTGGCGGGTGGGCAGTGCAGCGGTGCTGGCCGGGGAGATCAGGAAGAGGAACAGGCCAGTGGGAAGCAGAGCCTGGGGGGGAGTGCAGGGGTGCTGGCCAGGAAAGATCAGGAGGGGAAGTGGGGGAGAACCAGCTGGCCGGGAAGGGCGGTGTGTGAGAAAATCGGCCGACGTGGAGCGGGACTGACCTGGGCACTTGCTCCTGTCCCATGCAGGCTCTCGGCGACGCACGAGCGACCAACCAACTGAGGGCTCTTGGCTGCAATTGTGGCCCCGCCTCCCAGCTGCTCCCCCTGCCCATGCCAGGCTTCCGTCTGGTGCGCAGCTGGAAAAATCAGAAAATACTGGACATTGCACATGTCCAGTATTTTCCGGACAGAGCATGCAAATACCGGGACTGTCCGGTACAATACTGGACACCTGGCAACCCTAAGTGTTACAGCCCTAGCTCCTAGGGTGCTGAGGTCTAGTGGCTAGTCAGTAATTTTGGTGGGCTTGGTCATCACCCGGGTGGGCAGTAGTTGGAACAGGGGAGCCCAGACCCCTCCTCTCCAACAGGTCCCAACCTGGGCCCTGTCATTGGTGGGGTTGCCTGCCACCAGCTCAGCGCGAGTCCTACCAGAACACACCAAGCTTAGTTCTGGTTCTACACATGCTTCCCTGCAAAGTTTCTCTTCCTACTCATTCCTCATCAGTTGCCCTTCTCTGAGTCTCTATGGCCTCTCCCCTCGCCACAGCATCCCTGGGTGTTGGGGTCTGTATCCATCTGGCCAGCCATTGCATTATGGAGTGCAAACATCCCTCCCCCAGGAACCAGCAGCACACCTCCTTTCTCAATGGTAATCAGCCCAAACTGAACTGCTCAAGCATGCCCAGCAGAGCTGGGAGTGTGAAGCCTCCCTGTTGTACCAAGGTGGGGCTGATATATTCTGTTACATGGACTAAGGGAGCAATTGGCAGTTATAGATCTAGACGTTCTTATTAAGCTTCACATTTTTCTAAGTTCTCCTCCTCAATAATACCTTGTGGCAAGTAATACCAGGTTATTTGTGTTGTATGGTTTTGCTTAAAAAGTGTTTTATCAGCTTTAAAACGTAACACAGGGGTATATCACTGTGCTGCCTGGGTACAGTGTAGGATGGTGCATGCTCTTCTTGGTCTTCTCTGCTCTGCCTTGGCTTTTCCTTCCTCTCATTCTTTTGGCTAATGTGTCTTCTCTTGGATACACGGAGGGAACAGTCACTGAGATACCTGGAGCACCAGGGCCAGATACTACTCAGCTGAAATAATTGGCTGGAACTCTATTGTTTTTTATTATTTAAACCAGTTGAGGATCTAACTTTGACTGAGCCCTGCACAGGGTGGGCAAGTAGTTGAGGACTTCTTTAGTAGCCCTTACTCATTGACTTGCACTTGAGCTAGTCATGGGATGCCGCTTGGTGCATATACTTGTACTTTAAAAATGCTTTTGCCGTGTCTCTAGTATCGGTGATTTGAGCTGATCTCTTTGAATCAGCAATACACTCATTTCTTCCACTCTCCATCTAACCATCTAAGCCAACTCCTTCCGTCTAACCTCTCTGGGCAATAAGATGCCACTGTCAGGCATTCTGACAAGGTGCTGCTCACTAGCTCCCTGGCTGCTGAGAGAGCATAGGGAACTGGGTGTGTTTAGAGTAGGAGAGGGTTTGGTAGTTTGAGTGGGCTTGGAAGTTTAGAAGGGATCACTTGGACCCACAGAGAACCCGATGAGGTATTAGCTTACCAGTGGGATAGCTGAGAAAAAGGTAAGCAGTATAAAAGGGAGCAGAACAGGGGATTTCTAGCTGCTTCTGTATTTGTGATGTGTCTAGTGCACAAGGGAGAAACCGTGACAATAAAGACACTTGGTGAGGTACACAGGTGGATTGTGCGTGCTCTTTTATTCACCCCAGCTGAGTCTACACAGCAGGGTTTAACTTGAAATAAACTACACAAATTGAGATGTCAATTGCATAGCTTATTTCAAAATAGCTTATTTCAATATTGGGAGTGTCTACACAGCACTTATTTCAAAATAGAGCACTCTTCTTCCAACTTCCCTTACTCCTTACACATTGAGCTGTTACAGGAGTTGGAGTAAGAAGTCCTTCAGCTTGACGGTATTTCAACATTATTTCAAAATAACTGCCTGCTGTGTAGACCTGGACTAAGTTATTTTGAAATAATGTTGCTCTGTAGATGTACCCCCAGAGAGCTTACCAGTTTTGCAGATTCAGAAGGGGAAATCCATTGTCAGCCTGGGAGTTATGGTAAGAAAATTCATAAAACCTGGTAACAAACCAAAAAATATTTTAGAACCTTAAATGCACAGATGAAGTGTCCCCAACCAGATATGTTTTATTTTCACAGCATAATCTTTTGGTAATAATGAAAACCTATTAAACTATTCTGTATATCCAGTGTGATAGTTTTGATACAGGAAACCCTGGCTGGCTTTGGAAATGCATAAGATAAAAGTTGGAAAAAAAAAAGTCAATACTGGTTCAGATCCATGTTCTAATTTTATCCAAAACCTAAAGCTGGGAATAGGTTTACATAAATAGCTTTCACTTGTATTGACTAAGTATTTTTTATTTTTATAAGAACAACAATCTGGTAGAAAAATTATATAGCTCAGAGATATTAATGATGTGTTACTAATGTAACATTACTGTTTCAGATAAAGAAGGCTGTGCAGCAGGAAGGCTTTGGCAGAAAAAAGCGAGGCTACCGAGAGATCAATGAAATTGACATAAACATGAATGATCCTTTATTTACAAAGCAGTGGTACCTGGTAAGCAAATCAGTAATTTTTAATAAAGATCCTCAGTAGCCAATAAAATAGCCAATTTACTTATACTTTATTCCTTCTTGTAGCACTATTGTGGGAACATACCTACAGATTTCTTATCAGAGCTTTGAATTTTATTCCAAGAGAATCTTTCCTAGGATTTATAGGGAGCCTACTGCATGCTGGGACTGGACTTAGGGGCATGAGCCAAAGTTCATTGACATCAATAGAAAGACTCATTGCTTTCAGGGAGCTTTGAGGTGTGAGCACTCATGCAGAGCAGACAGGATTGTTAAAACTGATTATGTGCCTCAGTATCAAATACTTTGGTTTCAGGAAGACCTCTTAATCACATGGACAAAGTCAATATCTCTGTGTGGAAGCTTATTAATGTGTGCTGCGCAGCTGTTTGGAAAATGTTGTTTCCCTCCCAGTGGAAAATTTCAGTTTTTCATCTAAAAAGATCCTCATGGGAATTTAGGCCAAGGAAGAGGTGGGGCTCACTTTACCCACGACACTCAGCTGGAATGTATGTGTGAGACCCACGTGTTATTACCTCCTCGGGTCTTCCCCTAGCCACGGTTCTCTCCATATCTCCTGGTGAACCTCTTCCACTTTGTATAAATAATTAACTATCGATTCAGGCACACACGCTGTATATATGTAGCTTGATGGGATTTGGGAAGTCAGGTTCACTTCCCTGCTCTAATCAGGCAGAGTGGGGATTTCAAATGGAATCTTCCCCAGACTGGCTGACTGCTCTAATTACTGGGCTATTGGGTATAAAAGGGCGGGGGGAGACCACTGCCTTCTGCTCCTGCTCTTTCGTATTGCACCTTAGTTTCCTTGTCAGTCTAGCTCTTTATTTTTTAGATTTCCCTTATTAAATGTGTGTGTGCGTATGTAAATAAAAGAAAATTCTTGATGTTTTAATTCACTGACAATGAACCAAAAATAAATTATTTGCACGAATCTAGTTGAAGATGCAGGTGTTCTGCAATGGAAAGAAACCAAAATGCAAAGGACCTCAGGAGCGATAAGAAATGTGTTGATTTGAGCTATTCAGAAAGTGTTTTGAAACTTTTTTCCCACAGGAAAATGAGGGAGGTTGGGGGTTTTGAGTGAAAATTGAAACACCTTTAAAAAATGTTGACTTTGACAAAAATTTCAGGAAAAAAAAAGCCTAGTTTTAGTAAATTTTCATTTAGGAAATTTTGGATTTAAATTTAAGAATTTCAATATTTTGTTTCAGAATTTTGTTTTGATTTTTTTTCATTTTATAGTTATTTGTATATCATTTCATGACATAGCAGTAGTAGAACATAACATGCACTGCTACTACAGATGTGTCAAGACAAGACAGCAATTTTTTGTATTTCATTTTACTTTTAAAAATTGTTAAGAATAGCTGCTGACTAGTAATGTTTTAAAACATCCTATATTGCTTTCTAGATCAAAGTGTCTCTGTTTCATTATAACACAAACAGATCTATTAAACTATTTCAAATATTGTCTGCAGTGTTGTTGTAGCCAGGCTGGTCCCAAGATATGAAAGCAAAAAGGTGGGAGAGGTAATGTCTTTTATAGGGCCTATTCCAGGAGTTGAATTAGACAGGCGGCTTTTGAGCTATGTGGAGCTCTTCTTCAGGTCTGGAAGAAATCAGTATAACTGTTAACTTTTTCATTACAACACAAACAGAAGACACTTTGATCTAGACTAGAATATAAGATGTTTCAATCATTGCTAAGCAGCAGCTGCCATTAATGATTTCAAAATTTCAGAATGAAAATTTGAAATTCCAAAAGAAAATTAGAAATCCAAAATGAAAATTGAATATGAAAATTTTCTTAAAGACTTTTTTTTAATTTCCAGTTTATGGGAAACTTCACAAATATTTGTTTTGGATCCCACATAGGCGGGAGGGGGGAAGAACTCTCTCACCCAGTTCTACTGTTGGTGCTAGAAAGGAAGTGAGGGTATGTCTACACTACAAAGTTAATTCGAACTAACAGAAGTTAGTTCGAATTAACTTTGATAGGTGCTACACACGCGAACTGCTAGTTCCAACTTAATTCGAACTAGCGGAGCGCTTAATTCGAACTAGGTAAACCTCATTCCACGAGGACTAATGCCTAGTTCGAATTAACAAGCCTGCCAGCACCCAGCCAGCAGACCCTGCACCTGGCACGGCTCGAGCCAGCCACCCGCTGCCACCCACCCCCCT